CCCAGGCAGGAACAGGGCCTCGGGGCATCACAGAGCCTCTCTGGTCTCAGGGTCCCAGTCTCGGAACCCCTCTTAGCCCCGCAAGCCCACAGCTTACAGCTCCCACGGGCTGACCACCGAGCACTCAGTGCTCACAAAGTAGGAAAGGAAAACAGTGGAACAAGGGAATTTCTGCTAAAGGAAAACAAGTCAGGCTCCCAGGGGGCTGTCTGTAAAGATCACACCCCCTCTCCCGGCTAGTTTAACGACCAGGAGTCTGCCGCCAGACCAGAAACGTTTCTTGAGGCAAAATACCACCGGTATGCAGTCATCTTGCTGAGCAAATTCTCAAGGCCATGAAGTTCACAACCTCGGCTGATGGTTTTGAAGCGCTTGTGGGCTTAATGCCCATGTAACTCCTCTGATTTTTCCAGGTTGAAAAGGAAGGAGAAAAGATGCCCCATGTTGAGCTTTGCTTCCTTTCCACACGAAGGACACGGCGTGGCCTCCTACAGCCCAGCTGCCCCTGTCACGTGTCAGCAGGACCCACGAGGACACGAAAGACACACATGGCTGCGCTGGGCCCTCGGGAGCCCGGGGCTTGGGGGTGGCACACATCGTGTTCCAAAGGCACAAAGTGGCGCCCATTCCTCCAAAAGTACGTGTCACTCCCCACTCCAGAGGGTCACTCCAACCAACGGAGGGCCATCTGGTCAACACGTGCGAGCTCTTCCTCCCTAGACGTCAGCGCTTACAGCCAAGGGCGAGCCGGACGCACTCCCCACACGGTCTGGGCCAGGCGGCCGGGGAGGGCAGTGACACCTCAGCCCGTGTCCTTATACGACCACAGTCAGGAAACCCAAGCAAGGGCCTCTCCTCTCCACCAGCTGCCCAGGGACCATGCCCGTGACCCGGCCTCTGGGGCCAACTCCCCTGTGAAGCGGCAGCGCACCCACACCTCCGCCCCTAGCATCTCAGGGCTGCCAGAACCCAAGGTCAAAGTGCTTCTGTGAACGGAAGCGTGCTTTGCAGACATGAGAGGTTCTTCTTAGCGAGACCCGGAGCCAAGAGCTGAGCTAACCAGCCCCTGGCTCCCCCC